AAAAAAAAAAAAAAAGAAAATAAGCCCTAGTGTGTCTTCTTGAGAAAAAAATAAATATAAGACAGTGTCTTATTTTCAGGGAAACATGGTACCATGATATCACCATGATATCATTCATTTTAGTATGAATGAATTTTTTTTTGAAATTGAGACAAAGTCTCACTTTGTCACCCTTAGAAGAGGGCCGAGGTATCATAGCTCACAGCAACCTCAAACTCTTGGACTTAAGCGATTCTCTTGCTTCAGCCTCCCTGGTAGCTGGGACTACAGGCACCCTCCACAATGCCTGGCTTTTTTTGTTGTTTGTTTGTTTTTGTTGTTTAGCAGGCCCAGGTTGGGTTCAAACCCACCAGCCCCAGAGCATGTGGCCAGCACTCTAACCACTGAGATATAGGTGCCCTCCTATGAATGAAGTTTTTGAAGTGCTTACTGTGGGCTAGGCAGTCATAGGAACTTAACTGTTGTATGTCATTCTCACAATAACCCAGCAGAAGAGGAAACATCATGCCCCTCTTAGAGATCTGAATATGGAGGCTCAGCGAGGTAAGGCGAGGTAAGCCCAAGATCACACAGCTGACCAATGGCAGAGTCAGAGTCTGAGCCCAAACCTCCGTAGTCCTCACATCTCAAACAGCAGGCTTTTCTCTCCTCTGTCCCTTGCCCTTCCCGAATTTTCCTTATGGTCATATCACCACATGGCATTACATGTCACATCTCTGTGTGTTTATGATCGGTCTTTCCCTTCAGAATGTAAGCCATGGGTGAGCAAGGGGTTTTGTTTGTTTCACCCACTGCTAGATTCCCAAGGGTTGAAATAGCACCTTATGCTAAAAAAAACTGGATGTAGGAATGTGCAGCGCTAGCATCGATCTGACTACCACACACCCTCTGACCCCTGTGAATCCAGCCCTCATCCTAGGTGGCTCCAGCTCCCATCTCGCTCTGCCAGCCTGTGGCTGTGGCTTACTCTGCTGTGGAGAAGGCCAGGGTGAAGTTGTGCCGGCGCTTTGTGGGGTCCAGCTCAGCATAGTCAAAGGCATCGGGGAAGAACTTGTGGATGAGGGCGCAGAAGGCCATGCCGCTGCTCCAGCTGGAGGAGAAGTTCTGGATATCCACATGCTGCGGCAGGCAGGGCACAAAGGAGGCCTCAGTGAGCCCCAACCAGGGGGCCAGGACTCGGCCCCCACTGGGGTCTGTACCACTCATACCCTCTCCAGCACTGCCACCTCGGATCCCTGCCCCACTTATGCTCCCTGCCCCAGGCCCACCTCGTAGTTTCTTGTCATGGCCCGACACCACTCCAAGAGCATGTTCTTGACTCCGCCAATGGCTGCCCCGGCTGCCTTAGTGTTTCGGAACAGGGCTGTGGGGCCCGAGGCTGCCCTGTGAGGGGAGAGGGTTACAGGGCCAGGCCAAAGAGGCAAAGCCCCAGCCTTGGATGTGAGTCTTCCTGCTCTGCCTGTGAGGTCCCCACTGCCCCTCAGGCCACCTTCCCACCAACCCATAGTTTCTAGGGAGAGCCCAGCCCCCCCCC